ATGTGATCGCCTTGCATGTATCGGGTTTTGGATTGTGAGATGGGTTAGGTTGTGGTTGTCCGGGTAGAGTGGATGGTGAATTGAAAGGAGTTCTCTCGGCCAATTGAGCTAGCTGTGAATCAACCATCTTGTTGTGAGCTCTTATCTCTTGCATTTGTTGCCCAAAAGATTGCATTTGCGCATGCATGGATTGGAGGAGTTAAGTTTGAGTTAGCTCCGCTTGAGGAGCCTGTTCTTGATGATTTCTTTGAGGTGCTTGGGTTTGATTGTTGTATTGGTTGTTCCTTGTATAGCTTGCTCTTGGGTTTTGGGGTTGAGATGGAGGTGTATTTTGATATTGAGGGTTGGAGTTATAGGAAGGTTGAGCTTGTTGGTTCCATTGTTGAGGTTGAGGTACAAACCTGGGTGGTGGTTGTCTCCAAGCTACTCCACCGCCGCTTCCTCTAAATCCCTCTTGCCTTGTGTTGTATGCCGCTACATGTTCGCGGCTTAAACCTCCACAATAGGATGTATCATGGTTCGTTCCTCCACAATTTTGACAAGAGAAAGAGTTAACTTGAGAAGAGCTTGCTCCACCACTTGAACTTGCATTAACACTCGTGTTCAATTTGGAAAGCCCTTTTGTTAGTTGATCAATTTGATGTTGTAATTGATCAACTTTCTCCAATTCGTAAATACCACCTCTCTTTGGAGTGTTTCTTCTTCGGCCCCCCCAAGAGTAATTCTTTGCTACCTCTTCTATTGTGGCTTCAACTTTATTTTGAGGGATCTTGATAGACCACCTGCCCCCGCATCCAAATTGGCTCTTAACATGGGCTCCAATCCATCGTAGAAAAACTGCATGAGTAACCCTTGATTGTACTCATGGTGGGGACATGCTTGTACCAACTCCTTGAATCTCTCCCATGCTTCACCAAGACTTTCGTCGGCATCTTGCTCAAATGATGCAATTTTCCTTCTCATTTCGGCGGTCTTCTCCTCGGAGATAAAGCGCTTCAAGAACGCCTTTACCACCTCCCTCCATGTTGTGAAAGTGTTAGGCTTTACTTGCTTTAGCCATTTCTTTGCTCGTCCGGTGAGAGATTGCCGGAAAAGGTGCATACGAATGTAGTCTTGACTCACTTCATTGGTTTGCATCATTGCGCACAATTAAAGGAATCGGTCCAAATGTTCAACAGGGTCCTCACTTGCATTTCCGGAAAATTGCTCCAATTGGACCATTCAAGTATATTGTGGATGGATTGAGAATTTCGTTTCCATGATGGGAAGCAAAATCCCTCCCGTGAGCTCACAAAACAAAACATCATTCTCTTGTCCCGCCATTGATCCGCATGGTGAACTTGAAGAGTAAGTATCACTCTCACTATCAACTATATCACCAAAACCTCTTCCCTTGTCTTGGTAAAGCCTACGAACTTGTCTCAAGGTTCGGTTGATTTCGTGGTCAATTTGATGTGAGGGTGCTCCTTGAGACCTCCTAAGCATTCACCAAAGCTAAGCAAACAATTAGCAATGACAAGGACGATAAAACAAAAAAAATAAAAAGAAAAGAAAGTAAAATGACTCTAACAAAAGCAATAATAGACGCTTAACAAGCCGCTTCCCCGGCAACGGCGCCAAAATTTGATCACGGGTGGAAGTAGGTCGTTAAGCTAATACCCTAACAAAATTAATCATTTATAATACCTAAACCTACACTAAACTAGTTAGTGGCAAGTCAAGGGTCGAACCAATAGGGAAGCACGCTAATTTAACATCAAATATCACTAATCCAAGAGTAAAAAGGGGATTGTTTTTGTTGGTTTTGTTGAGTAAGAACACTAAAACTACAAATAAGCAAGAAAATGATGATTAAAATGAATAGAAAATGACGCTAGGGATACGGGGGTGTCCAATATGATTAGAAAGAGGAGAATAATGGTGATTATCATGAAACATATGCCTAAGAACACAAGATTCTACCTAAACAACTCATTCTCATGCAATAGTCTAGCAAATCAATGAAAGAGGTCTACACTAATAAGGATAATTCTCATGCATCCTATTAGTTGCAATCAAATTAAGAGAATAAAGAAGCACAATCCATAAAAACTCCACTTTAATAACTCATTCTCATGCAATCATTAAAATAGAGACGATCCTAATCTAGTTCAAATCACTTTCATGCATTTAAACTAGAAAACATCAAATAGAGTGCAACAATAATCCCAAGCTAATAAAAATCATGTCTCTCATCAATATATGGCATAAGTTCAATCCAACCATCATCATTCATCCAATATCAAATCATATCTTCCACCCCCTTCCCCTAGCTAAAAGTTTATCCTAGAGAAGGGAGATTAAACATAATATCAAAACTAGAAATAAACTTAAGAAACTCAAAACAAAACATGATTAAAATCAATGAAATCAATAACAACTAGATGAGCTAATAAGATTGACAAGAACAAGTAACAATAAAACAAATAAATGATACTAAAGGAAAGGAGAAGAGATTACTAAAGAAAGGATTAATGAAAGATGAAAACTTGGATTCTTGATTGATTGAAGGAAGATTAAAACTTTAGAAAAGTTGAATACAATAAAGGATGCTTGAATAACAATCTATTTTCTCTCTCTAGATTAGGCTAATGTTCTGTGGAATTAGTACTAAGTGTTTTCTATTACAAAGAGTCTCGTCTATATATATGTGGCTCCCCCAAAAGAAAGAGACTTGGAAAACAAGGCGCAAATAAATCAGAAACCCAGCCGTGCGCGCCTGCACACGACATATGCGCGCCTGCGCAGTAGGTGTGTGCGCCCTCTGAGCGTAGTGCGCTGCCGCAACTTTGAGGGTACGGGAAAATAAGCGCGCCCGCACAGTAGGCCTGCGCGCTCGCGCATCAGGTCGCGCGCCCGCATAGAAGCCGCATAACAAGTCGCGCAAACTCTCTGATTAGGCTCTGTTTCTTTAGCCTAGCTGCGCGGGTTTTGACAGGGTTGCGCGCCCGCACAGCCAAAGGTGCGCGCCCGCACAGCAGCCGCACAGCACCCCGCGCACAACAGTTAGCTTGGCTTCTTGATATCCTCTTTCTTTTGGCACATATTACCTACAAAACTGATGCAAATCATGACGAGTCCATTAGTCCAATCAAGCATGATCATCCTAAAAGTCTAATTCACAAAGAAATCACTCTTGCTAAGTCATTTGAAGATCAAGTGTTAGATACTTTTTGTGCGCATGGACCGTTTCTTGCTAACCAAGGGTTTACTTGTTTACATTCTGGTTATGAATGTTAATGGGAATCCTAGGCACGTTTTGAACAGCCTTAGGCATAGGAAAAGGCGTCCTTGAAGCAAGGAGAAACTTCATTGCAAAGTCATAAACATTTAGCATGAAGAAAGGCATGAATCAAGGGGAGGTTACTCCACGTTTTTGCTGGTTCTTTATGGCTGTTTTTAAGCTTCTTTTCAGCAGTTTTTAAGAGGTTAATTAAGGGTGATTAAAGCCTAAAATCAGTTAAGAAAATTTGTTTAGCTTAGGCGTGATTCTAGGCTAGGTTTTAGCTTTCATGTCTAGTTACAATAAACACACATTAAGCTTGTTTAATGCGTGTAGTTTAGTACTAGTTTGTTTTCTTTATTTAAGCTTATGATATGTAAGTGTATGGCAGATTATGATATATGAATTAAGAAAGTTTTCTCCTTAAAAACTATTTATTCTTGTTGCTAAGATAAATCGTTTTGTTGCCAAGTTTAACTTGACGAATTTGAGTGGTTAAGTGAGTTTTCCTTCCATGCAAATTAAACAACTAGTGGGTTTTAAGTGAGTAATCCTTGCCTACATATCTTGTTTGTTCAAGTGAGTAATCCTGACAAACTAATCCTTCTTTCCTCTATAAAACGTTCCTTAACCATTTCCAAAACAACCTACAAACCTTTCCCGTAATTTAACTTAAAACACCAACCTTTTTTTCTTTCCACTTAAGTTTGATCCATTAAGCTTGTATTAACTAAGACTTTCTATTAGTTTTTACATCATTTGGCGCGTCAGGTAGGGGGCATTTCTGTCCAAAATGGATCAAGCAAACCCAAATGAAACCATTGACCAAAGGAGACTTAGAATGATGGAGGAAAACCAACAAAGACTCTTGGAAACCAATGAGCAATTACATGGTAATATAATGGCTCTAATGGCTCGTTTGTTGACACAAGAACAAAGGGATGGGCGTCAAAACCCTCCTAGATATGATGACAAGAGTTTAAAGGTGGATGTAGACCTTTTTGATGGTACTCTTGACCCTGAGAAGTACTTGGAGTGGGAGCAATCACTTGAGAAGTACTTTGAGTTCAAAGACGTTGAGGAAGATGAACAAAAGTACAAGATTGCTAAGGTAAAGATAGCCAAGTATGCTGAAACTTGGTTGAAAGGAGTCCAAAGAAAACGAGAAAGCAATGGGAAAACTCGTATTTCTACATGGACCAAGCTTAGGAAGAAACTTAGGGGACGATTTGTTCCTTCTAATTACAAGCAATCCATGTATGTGAAATGGAGCACTTCGCAGCAAGAAGGGAGTAGTGTGGAGGAATACATTAAAGAATTTGAGAAACTTTCCATTGTGTGCGAAATAGTGGAAAATGAAGAACTCAAATTAGGGAGGTTTATGGCTGGTTTGGATAAGGATATTTATGAGAAAGTAGAAGTGCAACCCAATCTGACCTTTGATGAAGCTTGTAAGCTTTCGGTGAAATTTGACAATCAAAAGAAGAAGAAGAAACCTTCGAACCCTTTTGACCCAAAATTCAAACGCCCATTTAACCCACCAAAAGAAACCCCTTCCTTTCCAAATTCCACTACCAAAAAGAACCCTACCTCATTTGATCTTTCACAAAAAGAAAAAGGAAAAGCCAAAACCGGAGACTTAAGTGACATTGTTTGTTTCAAATGTCACGGAAGAGGACACTACAAGAGAGATTGTCCTAATGCAAGAGCTTTAACCATACGAGAGCTTAAGAATATGATGGCACAACCTTTTGTCCTTGAAGAAGAGAAGGAGGACGAAAATGGTAGTGAAAATGTACCTTTAGAGTCTTATGATTCTAATGAGGAGGAAAAGCAAGTTGATGACTGTTTTCCCGAAAAAAATAGTCTAGTAATGAGGAGAGCCCTCCAAATGCACGTGGAGGTTGAGAAAACCCCAATTCAAAGAGAAAATGTCTTCTTAACCAAATGCAAGGTTAATGAAGATGTGTGTGACTTGATTGTTGATAGTGGCAGTGAAGCTAATGTTGTGTCAAGTGATCTTGTTAAGAAACTTGACTTGAAGACTACTAGACATCCTACTCCTTACAAGTTGAGTTGGATTGATAAGAGCAAGAGTACGGGAGTTAGAAAACAATGTCTAGTAAAATTTCAGATTGGTTCGTATGTGGATGAAATTTTATGTGATGTCATTCCCATGGATGCTTGTCACATTTTGTTAGGGAGGCCATGGCAAAGTGACAAAAAATCAGTACATGATGGCCTATCAAACACCTACACCATTACTCACCAAGGCAGCAAGAAAGTGTTGCACCCCTTACCACCACAAAAAAGCCTTTCCCAAATACAATCCCCACCACCACAAAAAGAGCCCAAAAGAAAGGACATTTTGTTGCTTTCCTTAAAAGAATTCGAAAACTCTTTGGAGAAGGAAGATGAAGTGTTCTTATTGTTTTCTAAAGAGGAACACGAAGGTTTTGTCCAACAAAACCCTAGGCTAGCCGCATTGATCAAGGAGTATGAAGATGTTTTTCCTAGTGAATTACCACAAGGGTTGCCTCCTATTCGTGGTATAGAACATCAAATAGATTTGATTCCGGGAGCCCCCCTTCCAAATAAACCCCCTTATAGATGCAATCCCATGGAAACTAAGGAATTACAAAGACAAACTAAGGAGTTGATGCAAATGGGTTACGTGAGAGAATCCATGAGTCCTTGTGCCGTTCCAGCTTTGTTAGTGCCAAAAAAGGATGGAACATGGAGGATGTGTATTGATAGTAGGGCGGTGAATAACATAACCATTAAGTATAGGTTTCCTATTCCTAGACTTGATGATATGTTAGATGAGTTGAGTGGAGCTCAAGTGTTTTCCAAGATAGATTTGAGGAGTGGATATCACCAAATTAGAATGAGGGAAGGTGATGAATGGAAAACAGCCTTTAAAACTAAGCATGGTTTGTATGAGTGGCTTGTTATGCCATTTGGATTAACAAATGCTCCAAGCACCTTCATGAGACTTATGAACGAAATGTTGAGGCCATTTTTGGGGAAGTTTGTAGTTGTTTACTTAGATGACATTCTCATCTATAGTAAAAATGAGGAGGAGCACTTGAAACACTTGGAAGAGATTTTCAAAACCTTGAGAGAGCAACAATTGTATGGAAAGTTGGAGAAGTGCCATTTTTTGCTAACAGATATTGTTTTCCTTGGTTATATTATTTCGGGTGAAGGAATTAAAGTTGATCCAAGCAAAGTGGAAGCCATTTCTTCATGGCCAATTCCAAAAACAGTCACGGAGGTTCGTTCATTTCATGGACTTACTTCGTTCTATAGGCGGTTTATTGAACATTTTAGCACCCTTATGGCTCCCATCACCGAATGTACAAAGAAGGGAAGTTTTCAATGGACTCCACAGGCTCAAAAGGCGTTTGAGTTGGTGAAAAAAAAGATGTGTGAAGCGCCGGTTCTAGCCCTTCCAGATTTCATGAAACCATTTGAAGTTGAGTGTGATGCAAGTGGAAAAGGAATAGGGGCTGTCCTAATCCAAGAGAAGAAGCCAATTGCGTATTTTAGTGAGAAATTGAGCCAAGGCAAATTGAATTACCCCACTTATGACAAAGAATTCTATGCCATGGTTCGAGCTTTGGATCATTGGTCACATTATTTGAGGCCACAACCTTTCATCTTACATTCGGATCATGAATCTTTAAGGTTCATTCATGGGCAAAAGAAGTTGAATGCAAGACATGCTAAGTGGGTGGAATTCCTACAATCTTTCAACTTTGCAACCAAGTACAAGAAAGGCAAAACCAATATTGTGGCGGATGCATTATCAAGAAGGCATAATCTTCTTGGAATCATGGAAACTAAAATTCTTGGTTTCGAGGTCATGAAGGAATCATACAAAGATGACCTTGAACTCAAGGAAATCATGGAGTCTTGCAAAAATGGAGTCCACGGTTCATTTGTCATAGTAGATGGTTTCCTTTTCAAAGGGAACAAACTTTGTGTTCCTAAAGGTGCAATTCGAGAGTTGTTGATCAAGGAAGCTCATGGAGGAGGACTTGCTGGTCATATGGGTATACAAAAGACCCTAGAAATCTTACAGTCATTTTTATTGGCCAAAAATGTTAGCTAATGTGCACCAAGTTTTGGCTAGGTGTTCTATTTGTCAAAGAGCCAAAATGACGTTTCATAAGGGAGAGTATAAGCCTTTGCCCATTCCCGAAAGACCTTGGGAAGATTTGAGTATGGATTTCATAATGGCCTTGCCTAGAACAGCTCGTGGAAAAGATTCTATCATGGTGGTCGTTGATCGGTTTTCAAAGATGGCTCATTTCATAGCTTGTAAGAAGGTGGATGATGCGTTCAATGTGGCGCAACTTTTTTTTAAAGAAGTGGCTAGATTACATGGTTTGCCTAGAACCATAGTTTCGGATCGTGACACTAAGTTCGTGAGTCATTTTTGGAAGTCCTTGTGGAGGCTCGTGGGTACTAAGCTACTTTTCTCAACAAGCCATCATCCACAAACGGATGGTCAAACCGAAGTGGTGAACCGAATTCTTGGTTCTTTGCTTCGTGCCTTAGTGAATAAGGGAGGTAAAGATTGGGACTTGAAGTTAGCTCATGCAGAGTTTGCCTACAATAGAACTCCAAGCAAAACTACAAAGTATTCACCTTTTGAAGTTGTGTATGGTGTGAATCCTTATGTGCCGATTGATTACATTTCGCTTCCTAAAGATAAGTTCGTGCATGGGACAGCCAAGGAGCATATAGAATTCATGATTGATGTCCATAAAGAAGTTAGGAAGAACATAGAAAAGGCAAATGAGTCATACAAGAAGAAAGCTAACAAAAACTTGAGAAATATGAAGAAGTTCGAAGTGGGTGATCTTGTGTGGATATTCTTGCGCAAAGAAAGGTTTCCTAAACAAAGGAAACACAAATTTATGCCTAGGGCAGAAGGACCTTTTCAAATCATGGAAAAGATCAATGATAATGCTTACAAAGTGGACCTTGGAGGGCAATTCGGAGTTTCATCAACTTTCAACGTGGGTGACTTGGCTCCTTATCTAGAAGATGATGAGTTGAGGGCAACTCCTTTCGAAGAAGGGGAGGATGATGCAAATCATGACGAGTCCATTAGTCCAATCAAGCATGATCATCCTACAAGTCCAATTCACAAAGAAATCACTCTTGCTAAGTCATTTGAAGATCAAGTGTTAGATACTTTTTGTGCGCATGGACCGTTTCTTGCTAACCAAGGGTTTACTTGTTTACATTCTAGTTATGAATGTTAATGGGCATCCTAGGCACGTTTTGAACAGCCTTAGGCATAGGAAAAGGCGTCCTTGAAGCAAGGAGAAACTTCATTGCAAAGTCATAAACATTTAGCATGAAGAAAGGCATGAATCAAGGGGAGGTTACTCCACGTTTTTGCTGGTTCTTTATGGCTGTTTTTAAGCTTCTTTTCAGCAGTTTTTAAGAGGTTAATTAAGGGTGATTAAAGCCTAAAATCAGTTAAGAAAATCTTTTTAGCTTAGGCGTGATTCTAGGCTAGGTTTTAGCTTTCATGTCTAGTTACAATAAACACACATTAAGCTTGTTTAATGCGTGTAGTTTAGTACTAGTTTGTTTTCTTTATTTAAGCTTATGATATGTAAGTGTATGGCAGATTATGATATATGAATTAAGAAAGTTTTCTCCTTAAAAACTATTTATTCTTGTTGCTAAGATAAATCGTTTTGTTGCCAAGTTTAACTTGACGAATTTGAGTGGTTAAGTGAGTTTTCCTTCCATGCAAATTAAACAACTAGTGGGTTTTAAGTGAGTAATCCTTGCCTACATATCTTGTTTGTTCAAGTGAGTAATCCTTACAAACTAATCCTTCTTTCCTCTATAAAACGTTCCTTAACCATTTCCAAAACACCTACAAACCTTTACCCGTAATTTAACTTAAAACACCAACCTTTTTTTCTTTCCACTTAAGTTTGATCCATTAAGCTTGTATTAACTAAGACTTTCTATTAGTTTTTACATCAAAAACAAAAGCATGGAAATAAAAATAAAAACAAAGCGAGAAGACTAAGAAAAGGGAAGATAAAGGAGAAAAGAAAAGAGGAAGCAAAACTAAGTAAAAATGCTTAAAAAAAAGGGCCAAACAAGTGCAAATTTGGGGAGAATCCTTAGAGAAAAAGGATAAAAGAGTGGCATAAATTCTACTCATCAACATCTCGAGCTTTTTTCTTGAATCACGGTGACAACTTTCCCAATCATACAAAATGTTGTCGAATACGGCCTCATCACAAACCGTTCTTATCAAATCTAAGTGACAACCTCCACAATCTTAGCAAACGTCGTCGAAGACTGCCCATCCTGTGCTACATTCTCAAATCTAGGTGACAACCTCCTCAACTTAGCGAACGTCGTCAAAGACTGCCCATCTCGTGCTATCTTCTCCAATCCAGGTGACAACCCCCTCAATCTTAGCAAACGTCATCGACGATAACTTCGCTTGAAGTCATCCTTAGTTTTCCGTGACAACTCTCCACAAGTTAGGGAATTTCGTTGAAGATAACCTTTCTTGAGTCATCCTTTAGCTTCCTGACAACTTTCCTCATCCTAGGGAACGTTATCAAAGATATTTTCGCTTGAAGTCATCCTCAGTCGTTGCGATAATATTCCGAAGAAAATTAACGAAAACCAACGCTTGTTGATCCTTAAAGCTCGCTTGAACTTTTCAGCCGTGATATTTGCTGAAATTTCCGTGGTGCCAAAACGTCGGCGCATTTTTCTGCTTGTGAACCATTTCGTCGGTTCCCCTGCTACTTATAAACCATTATGTTGGTGCTTTCTGCTGCTTGTGAACCATTATGTCGGTGCTTTTGCGATCAGCCAATGTTTAGGCACTTTAAGCTAAGTGAGACGATCTTTTATCATGTCGATCACCTGTTGTTATTGTAACCAAGCCTATTACTTAATCATGTCAAATTGCTTATAGGGGCTAATTGGCGTACCAAGGAACCCGAAATTGCTGCATAAAGTCCACTTAATCTAATATGGGGCCACACATCTTGTAGTCGTACTAGCGCACGCCGGAGCACGCTGTCGACAGCATTTTGCGTTGTTGTTCGTTGCTCGATTTCGCTCTGAACCTTCAACTTGGTTGTTTCCATTCAACCAAATTTGCTCAAATCTTTTGCAAATTAAAGCTCTTCATCTCTAATTTGATCCATGTAAGTTTTTCTCAAACTCCTCTTATCTTGGAAGAATTTCAAGCGTTTATATTCGCGGTTTATTGAAAAATCCAGGAACATTCTTGCTCGCTTGCTCTTTGGAAGTGATAGCTTCCTATGCCTTGAAACTCTGTTGAAAACTCTATTCTTCAGGATTTTACCGAATCTGAGGTGCTTGATCAAAATTTGGCCGTGCTCGATCATTCAGGCCGATCGCCAATCTAACTATGATGAGGCCGACTCTAGTTGATTTGCTAAGCCGTTTGGGTCCTTTTGCTTCAAATCATTTTTACCTGCATTTATATTTTTTACTATAGGACTTTGCTCATCTTTTCTTTAGTGGTTGGCCTAAGGCTCAGTGTTGCTTGACTCATTGAATAAACTTAATGTGTTTTTAACAAATATGACTTGTCATGACTTGTCATGACTTGACTAAAAGCGTTTTGACACACATGGCTTGACATGAATCAAGGTGTAAACTTTACTTAATACGATTGACCAAATCAAGGTCGACTCAACTCAATTGTGACTTGTGTGTGAAAGGTTTTGACTCATGAGACTCGATATGTACATGACTTATGTGTGCATGCGACAAAAATTTTTCGTCATTGTAGGCGTCGTTCGAAGTGCGCCTACGTTAAAGCATATGTGTGAATATGCTTGGCACTCATAGGAAGTGAGAATTGACATAATACGATTAGGGACAAGGAAAGTAGGGAGCCGCCAACAAGTTTTTAAAGAACTTGTAAACCATTCACGGATTATAAAAGGCAACCACGAATAATGGACAACGATAGGCAACAACGATTAACCCGTAAAGGTTACACCCCATTCATAATCCATGAGATTACTAACTCCATATGGTTTAGAACCACGAAAGTGATAAGTGACTTTTATGTCACTTTTAGGGTGTTTATTGAGTCGTTTTCCGGCTTATTTTCCAATAATTTAGCCCATTTTGTCCTTTATTTCTATTATTTGCTTATTCTCGTCTTTTATCTTTATTTTAAGTATTTTAGTAGTTTTTAATAGTTTTTAGCTTATTTTCTTAATTTATTTAATTTATCTTATATTCTATGTTTATATTTTAAGTATTTAGTTCTTGTTTTCTAATAAGTTCCTATTTTCTCTCATTTTCTTATTTTTTTTTTTTATTTTCATGTTTGTTCTCTTTATTTTATTTAATTTCTTTTGATTTTATTTTTTATGTTATTTTTATTTTATTTTATTTTATCTTTATTTTATTTTATTTCGTGGTAATACCCTCGTGTTTTTGGTTGTAGGTGTTCCGGATTTCAAGTTCAAATCGTGTTCGGGGTCCGAGGTTCGAGTCAATTCGCACCAGCAGCCCCTGCTCCTCCTTCTCACACCCACACCTCACGCAACAACAACAATACCAAACCACCTTCTACCAACCTCCACCAGCTGCCATGAAACCCCAACTGCGAACAGCCACCACAACTACAACCACCAGCACCTCACCTCCAATACACCAACACCCAGCAACCCTTGCTCCCTCAAGCAACAGCCGCACACCACCACCTTCAGCCACCCAAACCACCAGATCCACCACTGCTTTCCCCCAATTCACCAACACCAACAGCAATAGCCACACCTCCCATTTCGCCACCAAAACCGCCAGCAAGTACCACCTTTAATTCGACCCCCGCAACACCAATTAAACCACCAACACCACCTATCAGCCCACCACAACCCGCAACAACAATTACCATCTCCAATCAACAACACCCACCCAAATAACCACCAAATTACTCACCTAATAGCCACGCAACTCACAACACCCAAACTCACAGCCAAGCCAATTCGCGGCCGCGCAGCCCTGTTAGAAAGCACACAAATTGGAGTCCAAAATCGAGTTGAGGCAGTAGCTTTGCGCGACTTG